GGTCTTGCGGATGGTCCCGTCAAGACTCACCTGTTCCGACTTGAACTAGATTCAATAGAACAAGCCATATCCATTGCGGAACAGGAAGACTTCAGTCTGAGACAGGCTCGCGCCAGCTCGACATCATATCGTCAACCGAGACGATATGACAACGGAGGTCCAGAGCCGATGGAACTCTGTTATGTAGATAGCGAGAAGGCTCGCTCTACAGGCTACAAGAAGTTGCAGAAATGCAACAGATGTCAAAAGACAGGACACTACGTTTACGAGTGTAGTGCTTCTCGTCCAGTTTCTCGCGATACTGGGCGTAGTGACCGTCCACCCGTGAGAAATGGGCAGGGACGAGGGTCCGCAGTTGGTGCAAAGACGCAACAACGGGATGGACCGTCAAAAAAACGGACAGGATCAGTAGGTGCGGAGCACCCTACTGGTCTAGCAACGTCAAGAGAATTTGTAGGCCTCTTGATGAAGGTTGCTCCCAACACACAAACGTTGTGCGTTGCTTCTCTAGGTAATGAGATCCCACTCATTACCTCAAAACTCGAAGTGACGAATAAATTGTCCCTTCGAAAAATTTGATGCCATCCTTGAAATACCGTGGCTCAGAAGGTACGAACCACGGGTAAACTGGCAGCATCGAACAGTAACGATGCCTGCCGTTTGTTCATCAGATGGCCATCTGATGAACGTTTTGGAGCGTCCACAAGCGTGTGGATGTTTTACGAGTGAGTGCGATGGCCTCACTTGTGGTACGGTCGTTAGTACGAGTGCACAAAACCTTAGTGTACCAAACTGTTACACTTCGGAGCAAAGTTCCGGCGGCTGTGAGGAAACACAGGCTGCGCCGAAGGTCCACCACTCGAATAAGTCGGGTGGACTGGGACAAAGATGTATCCCTAGCGGGGAACATCTAGAAGAGAAACAATCGATCGCTCAGGTTAAGCGAAACGATAATCCTAGATCGACTGGAGAGTCTTTCGTAGAGGATCTCGCTGTGGTTGCGCAACCCCAGCTAGAGGAAGTTAAGTTAATAAGTCCCGATACTACAAATACGGTGGAAATAAGTTCCCCGAAACCCGTGCGAATAAGTCCCCGGGAAGCCGAAGGAATAAGTCCTTCGAGGCCTGAGGGAATAAGTCCCCAGGAAATGACAGAGACATTGAATGTCCTAGTCAATGATGGATTAAGTGTAGGCGCTTATACACTTGATCTGATTGAGCCTCCGAAGTTGACTTCGGAGATCACTCAGTTGCCAACGCTCGAACACAAAAGGTTCTTGCGTGATCTGTGTAGTGGCAAAGTCAAGCCGATCTGCGTACTCGTCGCTGACGACGAGTGTGTAGCCGACATAAGGTCAGCAACAGTGTTCACTGAGAACGAGAGAATTCTCAGTAGTTCATCGATGGACGAGAGTGTCCTCGATGAAAAGACACGAGTTGAGCGATATGACTCCCAATCGTGGGAATCGCTCAAGAACAATTCTCTCTATGAAGATTTGGTTGAATTCAAGGATGTATTTCCTGAAACTGTTCCGTGCGAATTACCGAAGGATAAAGGTATCCGACACGAGTTCGAGCTTAAACCAGGCTCGAAGTACTGTGTCATGAAACAGTGGCCACTGCCTCGTGAACAAGTACTTGCGATCGACAAATTCTTTGCCGATCGTTTGGCGGCCGGTCATGTGAGGGAGTCAACATTCCGACACAGCTCTCCGACCTTCTGTGTGCGAAAGGCCACAGGAGGGTCGCGGAAAGTGCATGCATTTAACAAGTTGAATGCTGCAACGAAATTGGTTCAAACGCCGATCCCACGGAAAGACGTCATCATAGATGGTATGGCAAAGAGTACCAACTTTCCATCCATGGATTTGATGAATAGATTCTATCAGATCCTCGTGAATGAAAGGACTCTACGTACACAGCAGTGAGCACCCCCAGTGGTATGCTCTGGGAGTGGCTAGTGAATCCACAGGTCCTAAGTAAAGCCCCGCAACGTTTAACAGATGTGTTACGAATCTGTTGCGATAGGTGCGCGACTTTGCACCGAGTTACTTCGGCGATGTATTCGTCCATAGCCGGGCTATGAATGGAAGGACGGACGTGGAGGTTCATAGAATTCACTCTCGGGAGGTTCTTACTCTAATGTGAGAGCATGAGTTGTTCGCGAACCTCAAGAAGTGTATATTCGCAGCGAACGAAATACCACTTACCGGCTGCACCGCGGGTAAAATTGGTGTACGCCCTGATCCGGAAAATATCAAGGCGATTAGCGACTGGCCTGTGCCAGTCGACGTCAAGGGACTTCGAAAGTTCCTTGGCTTGGCGGCGTACTTGCACAAGTACTCGCGCAACTACGCCGAGATGACCGTACGTCTCTCTCGTCTGCTAAAGAAAAAAGAGAGGTGGTCACGGAGTGCTGAGTGTCAGCACTCTTTTAAAGGCATCAAGAAAAGCTTGGTGCAATCGACTTTGTTGGCGATTGCAGATCAGTATAGACCAGTTCATGTGGTCTGTAACGCCAGCAATTTTGCAATCGGCTGCGCGTTAATGCAGTACGACTCAGACGGCGTTGAGCGCGTCGTCTGTTATCAATTGCGTCAGCTGCAAGCAGCTGAGCGTAATTACCCGGTGCATGACAAGGAACCCCTTGCCATGAAATATACACCGGCAAAGTTTCGGGTATATCTCTTAGGAGATAGGCCCTTCATCGTCTGTACCGACCATGCGTCGCTACGCACAGCTGTAAACAGTCCAAATCGCTCGGAACGAATGGCGAGGTGGCTGTCTTTCTTCGCGGAGTACAACTTCTCCGTCGAGTGTAAACTAGGACGACTTAATGTCGTCCCTGGTTCGCGTCTCCTGTTTTGCGTCGGCCCGATTTCGAGCCGACTGCTCAACCCAACAGTAGGGGTGATCCCACTGAAGCGACGCTAACAGTGAGTGTTCCGTCGTCGAATCTGCTCGACGACGTGCGAGAATCATACACAGAAGATGAGTCTCTCCTGCGGTTGATGTATTACGTAGCCAATCCATGCAGTCAAGCTTTTAAAAGCTTGTCGTCTCAATACCGATCTTCAACCGAACGGTATTTGGTTCGTGATGTACTGCTGTACTATACAGCAGTCACCGGCGACACACCTCGTGTCGTCGTTTCCCCTCATTATGATTTGGGACTGTGCATCATGTACGAGTGTCACGATGCCCCAACAAGTTGGCATCGCGGTAGAGAAAAGACTTACCTCATAGTGAGTCGTGACTTCTACTGGACACGCCAGTATGAGTTTGTGCGGAAGTACATTCGCGCTTGCGAAGTGTGCCAACGAGTGGAGCCTACTCCTTCATTACGCGCACCCTTGCAGCCTCTACCGATTCCGCCAGAGTGCTGGCAGTCCGCATCGATGGAATTCGTCTTTGTGTCTCCCAAAGACGCTCACAAGAATACTGTTTTTCTTGTGATAGGTTCATCAAGATGGTACACCTTGTTGCTGTGCCGGAGTCAATCACAGCCCAGGGCTGTGCCCGTGTCTTCATCGATACTATCTTCCGACTTCACGGGTTTACCCCGTGAACTCGTTTCTGATAGGGACCCCCGCTTCATAGCGGAGTTCTTGCAATCCGTGTTCCGTTCACTTGGAAGATGTTTAACGATGTCAACTTCTGACCATCCAGAAACGGACGGTTAGACGGAACGCGTCAACTGCGTCCTCAAAGAAAGGATTCTAGGGTATGTCCACTCGTTTACGAGTTGGAGTGAGTTCTTGCCGATGGCGGAATTCGCCATCAATAACTCGGTGCATGCGTCGACAACGCATACACCGTTCTTCGTGAATGGTCTAAGCCATCCACATTTACCTTCCTTCTTAGAGTGTGACTCCAGTTTAGGGGGGGTGGACTCGCTCGAGCAAAAACCGATCTGGTTCTTGCTCATCACCCGTCTACAATGGTGTCGACGTGTTGGATGTCGATGTCGATGCGATCTATATCCATGATGATGATGACGACGATGCTGGTTTATTCAGCATCGCCAATGACTGCCACAATGAGGACGATGACGCCTTCACAGGTGAAGACAACGTTCTTTCAGCAGTGCACACGAAGCGCACTGATGTTGACAAGGATGAATCAGCAGAGGAATTTCTGCTGACTCGCTAAGCGGTTGTCCGCTTCGTTCAAGACTCTATTGCAGATGCCATAGATAAACAGAAGAGAAACGAACACAAACATGGAAGAGCAAATGTTCTTTCATTTGATGAAAAATACTTATTTCTGCTGTCTACAGTAAATTTACTGAAACACGCAGTGACAAAAGTGGGCAGCAGTAAATTAATGCCCAAGTGTATCGGTCCATTTCGTGTGTTGCGCCGAATGGGCAACGCATACACTATTGAAATGCCCCGTAAGATGCGTACGCATCCTACATTTACGTCAGACGTCTCCGCCCGTACTATCAGTACGAGACCGTTTCGAGATGCGAAGAACACCTCCGCGGTCGAGAGCCAAGACCGCCTTTGAATGGTCCCATTTAACGAGCCAGTCTGGTCGACTAGCGAAGCGACCTGCTCACACAGGTGAGCGGTGCCTCGACGAGCTGCAGCCATCTCGTCACGAAGAGAACGAGTCGAAAGTTTTTCTCAAGTTGTGCAAACGCAAACGCGGAACTATCGTCCGAGCCATCGTGCGCTAAGTAATTGTAATAATCCTTTACAAGACCATGGAACTCATAACGCCAAGTCCGTTCATGAGTCAGGTCATCTTGTAACTGTTCCGTTACACGGTTCAGCTCCTGAACATCAAGCTGATCCGACCCTCGAGCCGGATCAGGTGTTCCCGCCACCACCACATCCTTTGGTGGACTCTGGCGGTGGTCAAAGCTTTTTGGTGGAGCGTATTTTGAACCACCGCGATGTGAATGGTGTCCGTACGAGTTACCTCGTCCGTTTCGGCGTGGCTATTCACCGGCCTGGGACAGCTGGGAGCCTCGTGCCTAGCTGATTGTTGATGTTATCGGTCTCGTCGTGCAATATGACGAGACCCACCCGCTGTGTTTGAAGAAGAGCCGTCAGAAAACGACCTCCCCAAACGCGAGTACAGGGCTCGCAAAGTGTCAATCTCTTTGCCCATCTCAGAAGAGATGCGCGCCGTCCAGTAGGGATCATTAGGGAGGTAGGTCTCCCTAGGGGCACGGTTCGAGTTGTCCAGGCAACCTGGACACGAATCACCCCACGAGAGACAGGGTAATCCTGCCTCTCTTGACAGCCGGTACAACTTGGATCGCACCCCGACTGTATTGCGCTTCTCAAACCTGATGCGAGCTGCATCAAGTTTACCTAGGCAGGCCTCACGGACAATGCACTCGATGTAATGGATGAGGGCATTCCATCCTTGCACCAAGGCCTTGCCGTCTCGACCACGGCTGCCATTGTACCACCGATGTTTGAAGAACAAGTCGGTGTAGAAATCCTTTTTTGCGCGGATAGTTTCCGTGTTGAAATCAGGTGGGCAGATCTTCCTACAATCGAACAACAGGATTCGATCCCGATCGGTAGTCATGCCGGCCAACCGGTCCAACTCTTTGTATGACGGCATCCAAGGAGACTCCACTTGAGGAGCGCGGCGCAGGACATGTCGGTCCCTGGCCTCTTGATTGGTGTCAGCACGAGCACTAACACCAGTGACATCTCGATTTCTCGAGTTACTTCGCTCGTGGTGATGTATAGGTGCATCACAACCATCCCCACTCGTCCTATCTTTGGATGGACTCGCGCGAGGTGAGGTTTCGTCGGAACAATCGCTCGATCCGAAATCTCGAGCCTGATGCCGCCACGTTGACCAGAGCCATTCAACCTGGCTCTTGCAGTGTCCGCTTCGGGTGATCCGGAGGCGTGAGGTGTCGCCTTCGAGTCGGATACGCCATCCGACTCGCTAGAATAGATGAGCTCTATTTCGGGCTCATTTGAATTACGATTCGCGGTACCCTCTGCAGACGCAGCGGATGTACTTGTCGCACGTGGTGACTCACCACGTGGACTGTTAACAACAACAGGCGACGAATCACCTGCTGCTGAGGTGTAAGAAGTACTCTCTCCGGCTGCACGCATGCGTACAGCCGCCTTTCTTGCTGCTGCAGTAGCAACGCGCTTTGGTTTTGAAACCATGCGTTGGATTGGCATTTAATGGAATTTGACCATCAAGTGCTCCCTGTACCAGAGTGATCCAACGGTGGTCACCCTGTTCCAATCAAATCTATTCAATCTACGGGTGATTCTTGGTTAAGGGGGGGTGATGTAACGGGGTAGCCCGTTACATGATTTCAACACCAAACGGTGTCAATAGGGATATTGTCTAGCATGACAAGATTCTACCAATATTATCCGAGATGGATAGTATTGATGGAATATCATCCTCTTAGGATAATATATTCATGTGCTGCTCAAGGATTGGTTGATAAAAGACACGTCAGCCATAGATTACCACCAATCGCTGCTGGACGCGCGCGATGAGTGGTGAGCAGGTTGTCGTCATACGACGACGTAGTTTAAAATAGTTCGATAAATTTTAATGTTATCTCGATAGGTTAACTATACTAGATACAGTTCTTTTTTTACCCTTTACTCAACCTAGTTGTTGAGTAGATTAGCTTCCTCTGCACTAACTAGTGTACGTGAAGCTTCGTGACACCCCACACAAAGAGTGTTCCGTTGCACACTTGCCTTGCAAGGCGTCTTAGTCGTTGATCACTGATCACTAAGACTTATCAACACCTCCCTGAGGTAGCTAGTTATTCTTGAGCACTAAGTGCTGTCGATTTATATATCGCTTGGTCCCTTGGATCTAGGACCATAAGCGCTATACTTGTTGGCTTATTGCATTTAGTTAGAACTGATTCTCTCGTTGAGCGTTGAGTCTTTCTCTGACTTAAGGTGCTGGGTAGCTCCGCTACATATTTTGAAAATAAATGTGCGAGTGCTGGTGTGCGTGAGTAAATAATAACCGACACATAAATCGCATGGCTTTTCGATGATTAAGACGTTCCTTATTAGTGAGCACAAGTGTGTAATATCGATAAATGTATGCAGATATTTTAGAGGCGACCAACGGACGGTACGCTGCTGGGATAACATATTACAGACCGTCTTACATTTTTCTGAATGGCCTGCCATATGGGATTAAAATTTGACGGAGACCCCCCCCTTCCTCATCGGTACATGAGCGGCCCCACACCCTTCTTCACACGACAATGACTTTTTTGGCTAAAAGAGCCTCCCGACCTCCCACCTACTACACATACTGTGATTTGCCTTAGCAAGTCAGCTGTCCATTAGAAGGTTGCCCGTCTCAAAAATTATCCTATATCCGGTGGCCGCGTATTCGAAGCACTCATCCATATCGAATCTAAGTACCTCTCATACACACAAAGTGATGTTACACTACACCCCTTAAGGCAATGCCCTGCAAATTGAGTGGCAGCATCAATATGTGCAACTGAATCGAGTATGAATAGTACATTTGTCCAGGCACATATCAACATGTTATAAAAGACTCTATATTTCAATGAAGTGCCAATGTTTACTACGCGAAATGTAATCAGTGAGCTCAGTTTTCGAGCCCGAAGGGTGAACCTGAGATGAAGGAGCGACCTCCGGAGCTCGCTCTTTACTATAAGTAATTCAGTTCGTAGAAGTGAACTAAGTTGCAAAATACTATGCAACGGTATTCGCTGGGGAACAAGAATGACGCTATGAATGTATGTATAGAACGAGTATCGTATACTCAAGCAATGTGATCAGCCTTTGCTCATGAGCTCAGAATTTGCTTATATGACTCGATTTACTTTTGATCAAACACAAGCTAATCGTGTACGTGCAATATAATTGCGAGGCCGCAGGGTGAAGCTATTAGTGACTCAGCGAAAGGTGAATGCCGAACTTTTTGAATCGTACTTAGATGTATGTGTGTCTGTCTGTGGGTAATGCGGCCACCAGCTTCTTACACTTAATAAGTGCGATCTAGCCTTTCCTCCATCATTTGTAGTAAGCAATTACGAGGGCACTCTTCGACTTTGGTACTATTGTAGTGCACGCTTGTTAATTACTCAAAATCGATTAAAGGGCAATTAAGTCGCATTTCAAAATGCTAAACGCTCACAGTCAAAGGCTGATTGCGTTGTCCTAGCATTCTGTACTGGGTAAGAACCGAGATTAACAGCGTCGTACTCATTCTTCAGTGAATGCTATTCAATAGTGGATTGCGGCTTATTTCAAGTGTCCGAGCTGAAAAAAAGTTTTAGAGGGCGAGATCCAGAGAACGCTCTCCTTTCTCATAGTCATGTCTGTCATTTGTATAATTAATTTTGCAATTAATTTCAGAAATTTTATGTTTATTCAGAATAAAGAAAGGATATCAAATTTGGGGTTCGACAAGAAAATGGTCAATTTGAGGAAAACAGGGGGGGGTAAATATATCAACGCTTCGCTTTATCCGATCAGATCCGTTGTCAAATGCGCAGGAGACGGCCCAAAGGTATTGGCTTCTGCCTTTCCGGCGTGCGCTATACAAACGATAAGACATGCTTGTGCAAAGTTTTATTACTCGTAGTTAACCCTTAAACAGAACAAGGCGACATCGTACTCTATCTCAAGCTTCATTGTTGCTAGTTAACCGGGACGTTATGATGCAATAGGCACCAAAATCACAGGCAATCTCCTGATTAGCGAGATCTGTGCTCAATGCTTCGAGGCTACAACGGACGGACTAGTCGCCTCTTGACATGAAACGTGAGCGTGACACTTTGAAATGATCAATAATATCGCTACTGAACTGCTGTGTAAGTTCTTCCAACACACGATCATAAAAGTTGTCGTTCTCGAGACGCTGGAACTGGACGTCAACAAGTTTGTTAACGGAAACAGAGCCCTTCTGATGTACGGCAATTTCAAGAATTCCTGCCAGCCTTGACGTACCGAAGTTGGTTTCAAGTCGTTCATACAAATCGACGGCCTGACGGTCAGTGATAGAGTCGGGAAGACTCGAGAACATCGCAGCTATTGTCGAGTGTGCCTTGTCCAACACGTTGTCACTTTTGATAGTCTCAGTGCCGACCTTTTCCAGTGTTTCCAAATTCTTTACTCCGCCCCTGGTTAGGATTTTGATCCCATCTTGAAGTCTCACATACTTGTCAAGGTCTTGTTTTAACCCAACCGGAATCTGAAGCTCGTGAGTACTGTCCAACAAAGGTACTTTGGTGTTTTGCGAATTGGTGACTACCGGTTTCAGTGCAACCTCAGTGACCGGCTCGAAAACATCAAAACGAGGGAGATGATCTGCCATTGGCCGAACCTTAGCAACACGAGTGCCACACAAACGGTAAAAAAAATCGAGAAGGTGAAGAATGACGGTCCTGACCACACTGAAAATACGCTCATCTTCGTCATGATGTGCTGCATCAGTAGGTTGAAACGTCGCCCTTCCAGCCTCTGTATAGTTCATGGGATCCTGCGTGCTAATTGATGCCAACGCGGGATCGTTAAGGTCCGTCGCTATGACACAAAACGAGAGCAGCGAAAGATACGCAGAGAATGCGAAGATGACGAAAAATTGCATCGCCTGTCTCGACGTTGGCCAGAAAGGTACTTTTGGGTTAGAGCGCACAATGAGAAGTGAATGAATGTTACAGCCTGTGCGACGACCAAGAGGGAAAGTCTTTATTGCAGTTGTAGCGATGACTGGTCGTCGTCGCTCGATTATCAGACCTTGTCCAGACTTAGTATGTCTTGTTGCAGTTGTAAAATTCAGGGTTCAGTCATCAGATGATGGCAAGAATATGTCCAGACTATTGGACGTAATCGTCCCTTTCTTTGTCATGGACACGTTGTCCCCGGTATAACTAAAGAAAAAGTTGCGGGCGCGGAAAGCCAGCCAAATGATCGGTGCGGCAACTACTGCCCGCATCTAATCCTAACGAAGTCCAGGACAACCATGCTGAGTAGGCGGTTTAATCAGCTACGGCACGCTCGCCATCAGTATCTCGTCTCTATTGAGTTTACGTAGCACTGTATAATCAAACAAACGCAGCTTACCGACTAACTAGCTGTATCATCCACCAGGGCATGCATCAATAGTGGTGCCGCACACACTAAACAATCATTTGTCAAATGACGAATACCATCATCTCCTGCCTTAAAGTTGAAAATGATAGTTAAAGTCCGTCTGATCCAAAGTCTAAGCGGGCGACAGGCCGCACAAGTTTCCGAACCGGATAGCGGCCTCGAAAGTTTTTTGGATCCCACACGAAATGTTAATCTGACGTCATTTTAAGCTCATGGACCAGCTGGAGGTATCAAAAGCACGACGATTGTGGTACTGGCTGTGTATGACAAATAAAAATATTTGAGGTATTTCCAAATACACCTTCCTTCATTTCTAAATACACCTGCATGGTTCCAAGGCTGTCCATTTAGCTTAAGAAAACTATGCTAACAAATCTGAGAGCGCATCCTGTATACATCAAGAGAACAGCCGTAATTAGCAAGAGAACGTCCACTATCTAGTCTCAGTCAGGCATCTCTTTCCTTCTTCGTCACGTATCATCTGCATGAAGATGGGCCATCATTTCTTCACTTCTGGCGGTGCAGATCAGGATTTTGAACCTTCAGTCGGTCTTGTGTCGGTCTCCTTCGATAGTCTTGATGCTGCTATCTATGTTGCTTTATAAACCGATGAAGACACTACTGATACTATCACTTTTTCGCCTCCGGTCCATCATGAAGTCGTGGGTTGTAAAGACACCTCCTGGTCGGACCATTTGGAAGTCAAGATTAAGCTGTTGGTACCGTGAAGCAGTACGCGGTGTGCCAAACTATCGCTGCTGCGTTGTCTACACAACATCGCGCGGCAGCAAGCGCATTTTCTTTATGCTCCCAAGGAAAGTACTATTAGTAATTGCAAGGGCGGTTGGTGTCGTTGCTAGGCCGCGAATTTAAAGCCGTTTGCAGATTGTGTGAGCTCGCGACCACCTTTAACAAGAACTTATTAGGGATCAACACCGGTCGACATTTGATCGACTACTACCATATACACATCCGACGCATAAACAATAATAAGCTTGTAGCTCACACGAACGTGTGACACGAGAAGGAGGATATAAGAATGCCACAATCGTCCAGACGCATCAAATTGTAGCTGCTGCATAGTGATGTGCCCATATGTGATAATGTAAAAATACATGTAACATGTGCCATACCTAATTCATATTTCAGCTAATACTGAACCACTTCAAGACGACGAATATCTTTACGAGGGCTAGAAATCAATCTCAACAAGCCATGTTAAAGAGTACGTGGGTGAGAACGAATGTAGAGTCTTCACCAAGAGCACGATACTTTCGCCTCCATCTGTTTTTGGTTTAGAATATACCATCACCATGTCGACATGCTCTTGTGGTGCCAATGGACAACCTTAACAGCTGAAAAAAAGACAATGGAAGGGGTTAAATTTCGTCAAATTGAAGGAGGTCAGTACGATGTTAAATCAACGGGGCCGGCTTAAATATATGAATGTTCTCTTGCTCAATTGCGGCCGTTCTCTTGTCAAGTAGTGGATGTTGTCCCAGTAAATGTCAAACTAGTTTATTTAACTTAAAATGGATAGCATATAAGCCGCATAGGTGTATTTAGCAATACATGAAGGTTTATTCAGCAATAACGTAGGTGTCTTTAAAATTGCCCCACAGTGTAGAGGAGACTGAAAAAGAGTTCGTAATTCATTCCCCACCATATTGTTAACCAGCCCTCATCAACAACAAGCACGCGCCAGAAGGGAGCGCTTGGGCTAAGCTCTCTTTGCATGACAATCGAATGATCTACACTGTAGAGGTGGAACGTCATCCATGAGGAGAGGAAGGCATCAATGCAAATGTCGTCTGAAATCTAATATGCCATAGCTGCTTTACGGTAACAAATAAATGTGCAAGGGTACTGTAACGGGGCACCCTTTGTTCGGGGTGCCACGAAACTTCACGTACACTAGTTAGTGCAGAGGAAGCTAATCTACTCAACAACTAGGTTGAGTAAAGGGTAAAAAAAGAACTGTATCTAATATAGTTAACCTATCGAGATAACATTAAAATTTATCGAACTATTTTAAACTACGTCGTCGTATGACGACAACCTGCTCACCACTCATCGCGCGCGTCCAGCAGCGATTGGTGGTAATCTATGGCTGACGTGTCTTTTATCAACCAATCCTTGAGCAGCACATGAATATATTATCCTAAGAGGATGATATTCCATCAATACTATCCATCTCGGATAATATTGGTAGAATCTTGTCATGCTAGACAATATCCCTATTGACACCGTTTGGTGTTAAAATCATGTAACGGGCTACCCCGTTACATCACCCCCCCTTAACCAAGAATCACCCGTAGATTGAATAGATTTGATTGGAACAGGGTGACCACCGTTGGATCACTCTGGTACAGGGAGCACTTGATGGTCAAATTCCATTAAATGCCAATCCAACGCATGGTTTCAAAACCAAAGCGCGTTGCTACTGCAGCAGCAAGAAAGGCGGCTGTACGCATGCGTGCAGCCGGAGAGAGTACTTCTTACACCTCAGCAGCAGGTGATTCGTCGCCTGTTGTTGTTAACAGTCCACGTGGTGAGTCACCACGTGCGACAAGTACATCCGCTGCGTCTGCAGAGGGTACCGCGAATCGTAATTCAAATGAGCCCGAAATAGAGCTCATCTATTCTAGCGAGTCGGATGGTGTATCCGACTCGAAGGCGACACCTCACGCCTCCGGATCACCCGAAGCGGACACTGCAAGAGCCAGGTTGAATGGCTCTGGTCAACGTGGCGGCATCAGGCTCGAGATTTCGGATCGAGCGATTGTTCCGACGAATCCTCACCTCGCGCGAGTCCATCCAAAGATAGGACGAGTGGGGATGGTTGTGATGCACCTATACATCACCACGAGCGAAGTAACTCGAGAAATCGAGATGTCACTGGTGTTAGTGCTCGTGCTGACACCAATCAAGAGGCTAGGGACCGACATGTCCTGCGCCGCGCTCCTCAAGTGGAGTCTCCTTGGATGCCGTCATACAAAGAGTTGGACCGGTTGGCCGGCATGACTACCGATCGGGATCGAATCCTGTTGTTCGATTGTAGGAAGATCTGCCCACCTGATTTCAGCACGGAAACTATCCGCGCAAAAAAGGATTTCTACACCGACTTGTTCTTCAGACATCGGTGGTACAATGGCAGCCGTGGTCGAGACGGCAAGGCCTTGGTGCAAGGATGGAATGCCCTCATCCATTACATCGAGTGCATTGTCCGTGAGGCCTGCCTAGGTAAACTTGATGCAGCTCGCATCAGGTTTGAGAAGCGCAATACAGTCGGGGTGCGATCCAAGTTGTACCGGCTGTCAAGAGAGGCAGGATTACCCTGTCTCTCGTGGGGTGATTCGTGTCCAGGTTGCCTGGACAACTCGAACCGTGCCCCTAGGGAGACCTACCTCCCTAATGATCCCTACTGGACGGCGCGCATCTCTTCTGAGATGGGCAAAGAGATTGACACTTTGCGAGCCCTGTACTCGCGTTTGGGGAGGTCGTTTTCTGACGGCTCTTCTTCAAACACAGCGGGTGGGTCTCGTCATATTGCACGACGAGACCGATAACATCAACAATCAGCTAGGCACGAGGCTCCCAGCTGTCCCAGGCCGGTGAATAGCCACGCCGAAACGGACGAGGTAACTCGTACGGACACCATTCACATCGCGGTGGTTCAAAATACGCTCCACCAAAAAGCTTTGACCACCGCCAGAGTCCACCAAAGGATGTGGTGGTGGCGGGAACACCTGATCCGGCTCGAGGGTCGGATCAGCTTGATGTTCAGGAGCTGAACCGTGTAACGGAACAGTTACAAGATGACCTGACTCATGAACGGACTTGGCGTTATGAGTTCCATGGTCTTGTAAAGGATTATTACAATTACTTAGCGCACGATGGCTCGGACGATAGTTCCGCGTTTGCGTTTGCACAACTTGAGAAAAACTTTCGACTCGTTCTCTTCGTGACGAGATGGCTGCAGCTCGTCGAGGCACCGCTCACCTGTGTGAGCAGGTCGCTTCGCTAGTCGACCAGACTGGCTCGTTAAATGGGACCATTCAAAGGCGGTCTTGGCTCTCGACCGCGGAGGTGTTCTTCGCATCTCGAAACGGTCTCGTACTGATAGTACGGGCGGAGACGTCTGACGTAAATGTAGGATGCGTACGCATCTTACGGGGCATTTCAATAGTGTATGCGTTGCCCATTCGGCGCAACACACGAAATGGACCGATACACTTGGGCATTAATTTACTGCTGCCCACTTTTGTCACTGCGTGTTTCAGTAAATTTACTGTAGACAGCAGAAATAAGTCTTTTTCATCAAATGAAAGAACATTTGCTCTTCCATGTTTGTGTTCGTTTCTCTTCTGTTTATCTATGGCATCTGCAATAGAGTCTTGAACGAAGCGGACAACCGCTTAGCGAGTCAGCAGAAATTCCTCTGCTGATTCATCCTTGTCAACATCAGTGCGCTTCGTGTGCACTGCTGAAAGAACGTTGTCTTCACCTGTGAAGGCGTCATCGTCCTCATTGTGGCAGTCATTGGCGATGCTGAATAAACCAGCATCGTCGTCATCATCATCGTGGATATAGATCGCATCGACATCGACATCCAACACGTCGACACCATTGTAGACGGGTGATGAGCAAGAACCAGATCGGTTTTTGCTCGAGCGAGTCCACCCCCCCTAAACTGGAGTCACACTCTAAGAAGGAAGGTAAATGTGGATGGCTTAGACCATTCACGAAGAACGGTGTATGCGTTGTCGACGCATGCACCGAGTTATTGATGGCGAATTCCGCCATCGGCAAGAACTCACTCCAACTCGTAAACGAGTGGACATACCCTAGAATCCTTTCTTTGAGGACGCAGTTGACGCGTTCCGTCTAACCGTCCGTTTCTGGATGGTCAGAAGTTGACATCGTTAAACATCTTCCAAGTGAACGGAACACGGATTGCCAGAACTCCGCTATGAAGCGGGGGTCCCTATCAGAAACGAGTTCACGGGGTAAACCCGTGAAGTCGGAAGATAGTATCGATGAAGACACGGGCACAGCCCTGGGCTGTGATTGACTCCGGCACAGCAACAAGGTGTACCATCTTGATGAACCTATCACAAGAAAAACAGTATTCTTGTGAGCGTCTTTGGGAGACACAAAGACGAATTCCATCGATGCGGACTGCCAGCACTCTGGCGGAATCGGTAGAGGCTGCAAGGGTGCGCGTATTGAAGGAGTAGGCTCCACTCGTTGGCACACTTTGCAAGCGCGAATGTACTTCCGCACAAACTCATACTGGCGTGTCCAGTAGAAGTCACGACTCACTATGAGGTAAGTCTTTTCTCTACCGCGATGCCAACTTGTTGGGGCATCGTGACACTCGTACATGATGCACAGTCCCAAATCATAATGAGGGGAAACGACGACACGAGGTGTGTCGCCGGTGACTGCTGTATAGTACAGCAGTACATCACGAACCAAATACCGTTCGGTTGAAGATCGGTATTGAGACGACAAGCTTTTAAAAGCTTGACTGCATGGATTGGCTAAGTAATACATCAACCGCAGGAGAGACTCATCTTCTGTGTATGATTCTCGCACGTCGTCGAGCAGATTCGACGACGGAACACTCACTGTTAGCGTCGCTTCAGTGGGATCACCCCTACTGTTGGGTTGAGCAGTCGGCTCGAAATCGGGCCGACGCAAAACAGGAGACGCGAACCAGGGACGACATTAAGTCGTCCTAGTTTACACTCGACGGAGAAGTTGTACTCCGCGAAGAAAGACAGCCACCTCGCCATTCGTTCCGAGCGATTTGGACTGTTTACAGCTGTGCGTAGCGACGCATGGTCGGTACAGACGATGAAGGGCCTATCTCCTAAGAGATATACCCGAAACTTTGCCGGTGTATATTTCATGGCAAGGGGTTCCTTGTCATGCACCGGGTAATTACGCTCAGCTGCTTGCAGCTGACGCAATTGATAACAGACGACGCGCTCAACGCCGTCTGAGTCGTACTGCATTAACGCGCAGCCGATTGCAAAATTGCTGGCGTTACAGACCACATGAACTGGTCTATACTGATCTGCAATCGCCAACAAAGTCGATTGCACCAAGCTTTTCTTGATGCCTTTAAAAGAGTGCTGACACTCAGCACTCCGTGACCACCTCTCTTTTTTTCTTTAGCAGACGAGAGAGACGTACGGTCATCTCGGCGTAGTTGCGCGAGTACTTGTGCAAGTACGCCGCCAAGCCAAGGAACTTTCGAAGTCCCTTGACGTCGACTGGCACAGGCCAGTCGCTAATCGCCTTGATATTTTCCGGATCAGGGCGTACACCAATTTTACCCGCGGTGCAGCCGGTAAGTGGTATTTCGTTCGCTGCGAATATACACTTCTTGAGGTTCGCGAACAACTCATGCTCTCACATTAGAGTAAGAACCTCCCGAGAGTGAATTCTATGAACCTCCACGTCCGTCTTTCCATTCATAGCCCGGCTATGGACGAATACATCGCCGAAGTAACTTGGTGCAAAGTCGCGCACCTATCGCAACAGATTCGTAACACATCTGTTAAACGTTGCGGGGCTTTACTTAGGACCTGTGGATTCACTAGCCACTCCCAGAGCATACCACTGGGGGTGCTCACTGCTGTGTACGTAGAGTCCTTTCATTCACGAGGATCTGATAGAATCTATTCATCAAATCCATGGATGGAAAGTTGGTACTCTTTGCCATACCATCTATGATGACGTCTTTCCGTGGGATCGGCGTTTGAACCAATTTCGTTGCAGCGTTCAAATTTGTTGAACGCGTGCACTTTCCGCGACCCTCCTGTGGCCTTTCGCACACAGAAGGTCGGAGAGCTGTGTCGGAATGTTGACTCCCTCACATGACCGGCCGCCAAACGATCGGCAAAGAATTTGTCGATCGCAAGTACTTGTTCACGAGGCAGTGGCCACGGTTTCATGACACAGTACTTCGAGCCTGGTTTAAGCTCGAACTCGTGTCGGATACCTTTATCCTTCGGTAATTCGCACGGAACAGTTTCAGGAAATACATCCTTGAATTCAACCAAATCTTCATAGAGAGGATTTTTCTTGAGCGATTCCCACGATTGGGAGTCATATCGCTCAACTCGTGTCTTTTCATCGAGGACACTCTCGTCCATCGATGAACTACTGAGAATTCTCTCGTTCTCAGTGAACACTGTTGCTGACCTTATGTCGGCTACACACTCGTCGTCAGCGACGAGTACGCAGATCGGCTTGACTTTGCCACTACACAGATCACGCAAGAACCTTTTGTGTTCGAGCGTTGGGAACTGAGTGATCTCCGAAGTCAACTTCGGAGGCTCAATCAGATCAAGTGTATAAGCGCCTACACTTGATCCATCATTGACTATGACATTCAATGTCTCTGTCATTTCCTGGGGACTTATTCCCTCAGGCCTCGAAGGACTTATTCCTTCGGCTTCCCGGGGACTTATTCGCACGGGTTTCGGGGAACTTATTTCCACCGTATTTGTAGTATCGGGACTTATTAACTTAACTTCCTCTAGCTGGGGTTGCGCAACCACAGCGAGATTCTCTACGAAAGACTCTCCAGTCGATCTAGGATTATCGTTTCGCTTAACTGAGCGATCGATTGTTTCTCTTCTGGATGTTCCCCGCTAGGGATACATCTTTGTCCCAGTCCACCCGACTTATTCGAGTGGTGGACCTTCGGCGCAGCCTGTGTTTCCTCACAGCCGCCGGAACTTTGCTCCGAAGTGTAACCGTTTGTTACACTAAGGTTTTGTGCAGTCGTACTAACGACCGTACCACAAGTGAGGCCATCGCACTCACTCATAGTACATCCACAAGCTTGTGGACGCTCCAAAACGTTCATCAGATGGCCATCTGATGAACAAGCGGCAGGCATCGTTCCTGTCCGATGTTGCCAGTTTACCCGTGGTTCGTACCTTCTGAGCCACGGTATTCCAAGGATGACATCAAATTTGTCATCCAAATCCAATACGATAAAGTCATCGTCATATTGGGTATCTTCTAGCGTATAGTGGATCTTCACTATACGCTTCATGACGGTTACGGATGCGCCTGTCGCAAGACGTACCGTCATCCTCGTAGGAGGTGTGTCACATTCACTGAATTTAAAGTGACCATCTTCTAGCGATTGGCGTCGCACAAAATTGTTGGACGCCCCACAATCGACTAGAGCTCGAAAGGACAACTTATTCGTCACTTCGAGTTTCAAGGTAATGAGTGAGACCTCATTACCTAGAGCAGCAACGCACAACGTTTGTGTGTTGGGAGCAACCTTCATCAAGAGGCCTACAAATTCTCTTGACGTTGCTAGACCAGTAGGGTGCTCCGCACCTACTGATCCTGTCCGTTTTTTTGACGGTCCATCCCGTTGTTGCGTCTTTGCACCAACTGCGGACCCTCGTCCCTGCCCCTTTCTCACGGGTGGACGGTCACTACGCCCAGTATCGCGAGACACTGGACGAGGGGCACTACACTCGTAAGCGTAGTGTCCTGTCTTTTGACATCTGTTGCATCTCTGCAACTTCTTGTAGCCTGTAGAGCGAGCCTTCTCGCTCTCTACATAACAGAGTTCCATCGGCTCTGGACCTCCGTTGTCATATCGTCTCGGTTGACGATATGATGTTGAGCTGGCACGAGCCTGTCTCAGACTGAAGTCTTCCTGCTCCGCAATGGAAATGGCTTGTTCTAGTGAATCTAGTTCAAGCCGGAACAGGTGAGTCTTGACGGGACCATCCGCAAGACCCTGCATGAACACCAAAACCAACGGGTGTTCATCCACCGGATTGGAACTTATACAACTCGTGAGATGTCGTATATGTTGCGCGTAAGCGTGCACATCACGCTTACCCTGTTTGAGCTTCAAGAGTTCGGTTCGAGCTCTGAACTCAGCTCTAGGCGGTTCAAACGTTTGTCTGAGCCACGTCTTGAAGACTTCTAACGACCCAAACGCGTATGGGTCGTGCAACTTGAGCCCCAGTGCCCAAGTCTTGGCACGTCCTGCCAGATTTGACTGGGCAAATGCAACTTGCATATCCCCGTCGTCGATGCGACGCGCCCTTATGGCGTCATCCAATTCGACGAACCATCTCAAGAGGGAGTCTTCTTCGACCCCCCTACACTTGGGGATGTCAATCTTCAAAGTCTCGGGTCGACGCGAGTGCATCGACCCACCAGCAGCAGCCTGCTGCTGTCTCAACAGTTCAAACTGTTGAGCACCCTGTTCTCTCAACCACTCTGCTTGTTAAGAACCTTGTTGGTGAAGCAAGGCTACTTTCTCGCATTCAGCGTCAAGTACATTTTGAATGAACTTGGCGATAGTAGCATGCTGGGCATCTCTATTAAGAGCCTCTAGCATGATGCTAACAGCATGGATGCCCGTGGTTGAACCCATCCATTCAACCGCATCCCATTCGACATCGCTCAAATGGGAGTAGCCGTCACGCGTAGCGTGAACGCTTTGGTCATCTTCATCATCTAACATATTCATGTTAGATGTGAACGTGGTCCTTGGACGGACTACGAAGCACTACCAGGCGTAACAGGGCACCCTGAAGCTTGTACTGGTGACAGTACAAGCTACTTATTCTGATGACAGAATAAGGCGGTGCCTCGTAACTTCACGTACACTGGTACGTGCAGAGGAAGACGGTAAGAAGAAGCGAGTACTTGGTTAGAGTAAAAAGTAGAACTGTATTTATAATAGTTAATGTCTGCAATAAATCACTATTTATCTTCATCTAACTATGTCTAAATACAAATGTGTAAATCAGTTATCTGCTCACCACTCATTGCGTGCGTCTGTCGTGGCGCGTCTTCGTTGGTTGATATAATGGCCTATATCAACCAATTAGGAACTACTCGTAAGTGCTACAGAATATTTGTCCTTATGACAATATTCTGAGAATATAACTCTTATAGTTATATTCTAATAACAATTTCTTATAAATTGTTATGTAACGATTCACCCCGTTACAGTTATCACCATCAGGAACACTGGTTTTTTCTTCCATTACGTGTACTCTCACGGTCACGTCCTCTTCGATCGACTCTCTTTCAGTTGATCGGGCTTGCTCTACGATCGACTCTCTGATAGTCGATCTCGCTACAACGTGTTGTTCAGCCTGAAAAATACTAATCTCTCTTCTCGGATGCACCCTTCTTGTTGTGCATCCGTGTCCCAGTCCACTCGATCTCTTCGAGTAATGAACCTTCGGCGCGGCCTGTGTCTCTACACAGGTGCCGGAAGCTGGTTCACAGTGTAGTGGCCTTCTACACTGTAATCTTGTGCATTCATACTAACGACCGTACCACAAGTGAGGCCATCGCACTCACTCGTAGTACATCCACACGCTTGTGGACGCTCCAAGACGTTCATCAGATGGCCATCCGATGAACAAGCGGCAGGCATCGTTACTGTTCGACGTTGCCAGTTTACTCGTGGATCGTACTTTCTAGGCCATGGCAGACCAAGAATGACATCGAATTTGTCATCTAAATCCAGTAAGATGAAGTCATCATCGTACTGCTTTCCTTCTAGCGTGTAGTGGATTTCCACCACACGTTTATTTACTGTTACGGATGCGCCTGCAGCAAGGCACACCGTCATCCTCGTTAGAGGAAACTCTCGCTCAACATGGTTGAGCCTACTATCCTCACGCGACTGGCGTCGAATAAAACTGTTCGACGCCCCACAGCCAACTAAGGCGCGAATTGCATTCCACTTGTTACTTCGATCTTCAAAGTGATGAGGCGCACCTCATCACTAGGGGCAGTAACACACAGCGACTGTGTTTTGGGAGCAATCTTCGTCAAGAGTCCTGCAAATTCTCTTGACGTTGCTGGACCAGCAGGGTGCTCCACCCCTACTGACCCTGTCCGTTTTTTGACGGTCCCACTTGCTGTCGCGGCTTAGCAACATGGTAGTACTTACGCCTCGGACCTTTCCTTGGCCAACGGTGGTCATAACGTGCTGTCTTTGTACTTGTTGCGATGCTAGGGACACTACACTCATGAGCGTAGTGTCCAATCTTCTGACAGCGATGGAATCTTGCCATTCGCTTGTGACTCAGAGAGCGAGGGTTCTTGCTCTCGATGTAACAGAGGTCCATTGGATCGGGACCTCCTGTTTCCTGTCGTCTCGTCGGACGATAATTTGACGAGTTAGCCTGAGACTGTCTCAGGCTGAAGTCTTCTTGTTCCGCATACGCTATCGCCTTTTCCAGCGTACGGAAGTCCTCTCGGAACATGTAGGTCTTCACCGGCCCATCTACAAGGCCGTATATGAACACGTTGATGAGTGTGTGATCATCAACATGGTTCTCCGTAACGCTACTTGCAACGTAGCGCAGGTGCTGTGCGTAAGCGTGCACGTCAAGCTTACCTTGCTTGAGCCTCAGGAGTGCAGAGCGTGCTCTGAACTCGGTTCTCGGCGGCTCAAACGTCTCTTTAAACCGAGACTTCAAGATCTCCAACGACTCAAACACGTTTGGGTCGTGAAGCTTGAGTCCTAAGGCCCAAGTCTTTGCTCGTCCCGTCAAATTTGACAGGGCGAAGGTGACTTGCATCTCGTCACCCTCGATGTGACGGGCCTTGATGGCATCGTCTATCTCGACGTACCATCTCAAAAGGGAATCTTCATTGGTTCCCTTGTGTCTTGAAATATCTATCGTCAAGGTTTCGGGTCGACGCATGTGCGTCGGCCCGCACATCGACTGATGAGAGACTTGCTGTTGTAACAAGGCTATCTTCTGTCTTTCGACGTCAAGTTCGCCTTGTAGGAACTTGCTGATAGCGGCATGTTGCTGGTCTCTGCTTAGAGATTAACATACCACTGATGGCGGGTTCTCCCATTAGAACACTTATGCCGCCGACTAACTCCCATTCTGAGTCACTCAGATGGGAGTAGCCTTCACGTGTGACGTAAAAGCTGTCGTCTTCTACGTCCAACATGTTCATGTTGGACGGAAACTAAGTAGTCGTTGGACGGACTACAAAGTTTGCTACCAGGTGTAACGGGGCACCCTTTGTTTGGGGTGCCACGAAACTTCACGTACACTAGCACGTATAGAAAAGTCTAATCTACAAAGACGACTCGTTTTAGTAAAGGTAAAAAGAGAACTGTATTTAATATAGTTAACCTATCGAGATAACATTAAAATTTATCGAACTATTTTAAACTACGTCGTCGTATGACGACAACCTGCTCACCACTCATCGCGCGCGTCCAGCAGCGATTGGTGGTAATCTATGGCTGACATATCTTTTATCAACCAATCCTTGAGCAGCACACGAATATATTATCCTAAGGGGATATTATTCCATCAGTATTATCCATCTCGGATAATATTGGTAGAATATTAGCATGCGAGACAACATCTCTATTGATACTGTAACGGGGCACCCTGAAGCTTGTACTGATGACAGTACAAGCTGCTTATTCTGATGACAGAATAAGGCGGTGCCTCGTAACTTCACGTACACTGGTACGTGCAGAGGAAGACGGTAAGAAGAAGCGAGTACTTGGTTAAAGTAAAAAGTAGAACTGTATTTATCATAGTTAATGTATGTTAATAAATCACTATTTATCCTCATCTAACTATGTCTCAATACAAATGTGTATATCAACTATCTGCTCACCACTCATTGCGTGCGTCTGTCGTGGCGCGTCTTCGTTTGTTGATATAATGGCCTATATCAACCAATTAGGAACTACTCGTAAGTGCTACAGAATATTTGTCCTTATGACAATATTCTGAGAATATAACTCATACAGTTATATTCTATTAACAATTTCTTATAAATTGTTATGTAACGATTCACCCCGTTACATCACCCCCCCTTAACCATCAGTCACTTTAGTGACTGATTGACTAAATGGATACTCGTCCCAAATCATTTGGGACAGGGTTTGCACTTGTTGGTCCGCGTCCACTTTCCAACATCTCATCGCATGGTAAACAAGCCCATGCGATGCGCGAACAAGGCCGCCGAGAGCGCGTCTGCACGTCTCTGTGCGGACGCCGAAGCAGAAACAACAGCAACTGATGTCTCATCGGTTGCTGAAGCGACTCAGCCTGTGTCACTTGGTGATGCAGGCTCTGGTCATGAAGACACTCATGTCTTCACAGAGTATGCGCTCGGTGTCTCATACTCTCCTGATACGGAAGACGGATCCGTATCGACGGGGATCGAATCCAAGCCGCCTGCCAAGCGTGGCATGGACGATGCTATGCGTCGTAGCATCTTTGGTTCATCTGATGAATCCGATGAACCATCGCCGAAGCGAAGGCGCTCGAGGTCGCGAGACTCGGGCGCTAATAGTGGTGTCGGTTCTCCTATGGACACCACTTCACAGCGAGGTGCCAGTACTTCTGTCGGCACGTCGCAGGAAGAGCGGGACCGCAATGTGTTGCGCCTCTCTCCTGAGAAGAAGGCATGGATGCCTCCTAAATCAGTCATGGATCACTTGTCGGCGACGACGAGTGATCGTTATCGAACACGGTTGTTCGATTCGTCAAGGATCCATCACCTTGACCCCAGCGCGAAAAACTATCGCGCTGAGAATGAGTTCTTCATCGATGCTTTCTTTAGACATCGATGGTACAGTGGTAATCACAAACGTGATGGTCCCTCACTACTTCAAGCATGGAACGCCTACATCCATAACCTTGAGGATGTAGGTCGTGACGTTTGGAACGACAAACTTATCAAAGCTCGAGATAAGTTTGAAAAGCGAACCCCGACAGGTGCACGCTACAAGCTGCATCCTCTGTCTAGAAGGAAAGGGTTACCCTGCCTCTCTTGGGGAGACTCGTGCCCATGTTGTGTGAACAACTCTGCACGAGCACCTAAGGAGGCTTACCTCCTTACTAGCCCGTGGTGGCGCGTACGTATCTCTACTGAGATGTACGAAGGGATTGACAACCTGAAACCCCTTTACGACCGTGCCGGGAAGACTTTCTCCGGCGGTCCTTCTGCGGCACAGGATGTTCCGCGCCGTACTGCTCAACCAGACCCAGTACGTCGATCATCAGTTGGGAGCGGGGCTCCCAAGAATCCCAGGACGGGGGATAGCCGCGCCACCGGACGAGATAACTCGTCCGACGTCCGTTCACGTCGCGGTGGTTCAACAGCTGCTCAACTAGATAGCGCTGGCCACCGCGA